AGAACACCGCCGCGCGAAGAACGAAGAAGGGCTGAACCAGTGTGCCCTCGGAGCTGCCATCTCCTCATTCGGCAGGCACATTGCAAATTTCACGAAACAACACGCGCTGCAACTGTGACTGTGATAAACAAATCAATAGATAGACATGCGCTTGTGACGGCATGTCACTTGAGCCGCCTAAGAAACAAAACAATCAAACAGTGGAAAAGCGCACCACTGATGCGCCAAGGCTCCCAAATCCTTCACCGCAGCAAAGAGCTGATTTACAGCCTCACGGTGAGCCGGAGGAGAGCGAGGACACCATTGAGGCGCCGGAGATCGGAGACACGCCTGCCACGCAACCTGCTAGCAAGGAGACGATAGAGATTTGGAAGCCCAACTGCCTCGCACTCTCTTGGACTGTTGGCCTCGCGCTTTGCGTTGCTCGTAGTCTTCGGCGAAGGCGCTGAAGCGACGCCAGAATTTCCAAGACAGGCGCCGCAGGCGGATGTCCTGGTAGAGCAAAGCCAAGGCAAACGAAGCTGGGATGTTGTGACCGCTGCGCCTCCTCCTCCTCCCCGCTGTGCTCCTCCTGCTTTTCCTGCACGCAAAGCTACTGTGGACCTCTGGCAAAACGAGTTGCTCTCGCACCTCGGCACGCGGAGGGCGCACCGGGAGCTGCAGCACCTGCCCCAATTCAAAATGAGATCCAGCTGCATGTTGAGCCGGCATCCAACGGCTGCAAAGCGCAAAATCAACATAAAGCTGAAGTGCCAGCAAGTTTACAATAAAAAGTCTGCGGCGCAGGATCTAGATCACATAATTCAAATGCTATGGTTTGGTCAGGAGTGTGGACATGTGTAGGAATTCGGAGATGACATATTGGATTTTCAGGGCTTGGGATTGTGTTGGGGATTGATATTTTCCTAGTACTCGTATAGAGGGTTGATGGTGTGGGGGGTTGCAGAACAGATGGCTTATGTACAAGCCTGAGTCATAGTCACCTGTGCTGTCTGAAGTAACCCAGTCGATCAAGGATGTACCTCATACACCCCGGAATACTGAGTTTCCTCAAGTACGGAGTGTGCTGTTTTCATTATCAGGGGCACATGGTTCTGGATGAGGCGGAGTTGAGTAAGTACATAAAGCCTCGCGCGATGGCTGCGGCACCAAGCCAGGCGGACCCAAGCCTGGTGGCTCCACAGCTTCCTGAGCCAGCGCCGCACGGAAGCGCTGAAGCTGCAGCTCACAAGCAGCATCAGGCTGCACCTCGTCTGACTCGTCCCGGAGCCGAGGTGCTGTGGCCTGCACTCGACTGGATCTGCCCTTTCGATGCACTTCCCATCCTTGCTTGGGCTGGCCACAAACTTTGATGTGTGGCAGCTCTCATTGCCCCCCAAACTGTACCCTTTGCGGGCGCACCTCAACTGCCCCGTACTGGGGCATCTGGCCTCCTCCCAACGGAGGTGCCACAGGCACCTGCCAAGCTCTTGAGATCGGGGCGTTTGCTGCATTTCATCACACTTCACGGCATCTGCACCTGCAGGGGCTGCCCCGGGAGGCCGCGACCCATCTCCAAGTCAACCTCCGCCTGACATGCCTGTGGCGGGAAAAGATTTTTTAAGAAGCGCCTACCCTTCCTGGCGTCTTTCTCGCAAGGCCTCCAACACGCACCGGTCCTCACACAGCGTTCGCAAAATTCGAAATGAGCACAACTTCGAGGGGTTGGACCTCCTCTCGGCAGCGGCGGAGCCAAAGTACTGCGAAGCCCTGGTGCGTCACATCCCTTTCTATCATTCATGTGCTGGCGGTTTCTGCAACCAGGTATGGGCCGCTGCCACCAGCACGGCCAAGGACAAGAGCCACAGCCAGACCTTGACAATCGCTTCAATCCATGGCCTGCTGTGCGCAGGATATATATAGGGGCTTTTATATGGTAATAATGGAAAAGAAGATGGAAACCACTATATAGTGGAAGAGAAAATGGAAATTGCTATATAATGGAAAAGAAACTGGAAAATACCATATAACGGAGCAGAAAATGGAAATTACCATTACAAGGGGCTTATGCGGGAGGAGCTCCGGTCATCTGAGTCCCGCGCTTGGGAGCGTTGGCCGGCCTCATAGGCTTGCCGCAACTCCCAGGGAGCACTTTGGAGGGGTCCATTTGGCCTCGCGGCACTGTACAGACAAAGCAACCCGCTCTAATTATCGCTCTCTCGCTCTCTCTGTGGCCCACAACGTGCATTGGTGGCAGGCTATGGTGTTACAGCTGACTAAGTTCAATTAAGGACTTTCAGTGGCAAGCAAACACGAAAGTAATGATGACACGAAACCCAAAACCCTAAATTGCTGGACACACTGAGACCGTTTGCTCCGGGGGCCCGGCAGCTGGATGGCTTCAGGGAAGAGTAGGCTGGTCATTGCCACGGCCTGCCACTAGTTACAACCTACGCACAAGGCTTTGAGCTGTCTTTGCTGCGGCGTCTGGATGATTCCAATTACCAACTGCGGAGCAGCCATGCGCGCGATTGTGGAGATGAAGTTGCCATTGAACTTTCATTGTTGGGAATAGCGAACCGGGGTATAGGGAGCACCCTGGGGCTCAAATGGGGATTGTAAGTAGGGGAGCGTGTGTAGTGGAGCCCGCCCAAACATGCTTCGCCCTACACCCTAAATAACCCTTAGACCCTCATTTGCGATTTTTGGGGGTATGGGCTTCATAACACCTGTTTTCCACGCAACTGATGCGGGCTTTCAGGCGAATCTCTGTACTCGCAGGGTAATCGCATGACTTCCTCACAGCTGGCGTCGCTCGGCGACGGAAAAGAAGCTATGCCTCGCCTATGAACTGTTCTAGGTAGGCATATGGGTAATTCTCAAAACTATGAGCCCGTTTTGGACACAGATTATATTACGGCACCTGATATTCAGGGGTACCAAAATGGGACCCTAATTTTGGGAACTACCCATATATTAGGGGGCTGCGCAAAATGGTGATTACCTTTTTCGGGGTTCAAAATAGGACTGATAGTACTTAGGACTTAGGGGTCTACATTGGAGTCCCCCAATTCATGGAAACTACCACTACAGCAACTATGAGGAACTATGTGCTCTTCCTGGCTAAATCTTACGTGTGCTGCCTACCTAGCACTTGAACCTCTACAATCCTCTACAGTCTCCAGGCACAGCCAGAAGGTTGCGCAGCCTCACTGTTCAGCTGCTGCCAAGCCCTTTAAGGTACATCGCTCCGTCGACCAGGCTTCAAATCCTCGGCTGCCAGTACGGCTGGCTTCGTGGTAATTAAGGCACTTGATTTCCACACCCAGAATAGTTTACTGCCAGTTCCTTACAAGTAGCAGCAACCCAGCAGTTGCAAGATGCTACTGTAGAAGGGTTAGCGTACGCATGTCGCAGCACATCTGCGCAAATTGCCTGAAGCGAAAGACAAGAGCAAATGCCACCCACTGATTCCAAAACCACAGAATGAGTGTCCCAACCACACAGCTTCCTGCGGTGAGGGCCCCACCCACCACTAGGCATCATGGTGAGTATGGTAGGACCCCTACGCTCCTCATGTGCCTGAACAGAGACAGGCTGCGTGGTGTCCCGGACATGCTCGTCACGCGCGGGCGGCGCGGAGGGAGTCAACACGCCCAAGGCGGTGGCGGCCGCGGCAAGCGCAACAACCTTCTTGGAGTTTGCGAATTTCTCCGAGACGTGTGGATCTCTGAAAGTTACTAGGTGAGCATATCACAAACCACGCGTGCTTTGAATAAGCGTTTTTGTAAGAGACCCAATTCTATCATATGGTTATAGCTTGGCTTGTCGCAAGCCAGCCAAGATTGCTTGCCAAAAATAAGTCCCATGTAAGCCTTTCTAAGGGCCCCCATGCTCCTCTTACAACCCCCCCATCTATCCCTGGGGTGTTTCGGGCCCTCCCCATCTTGCAACACCCTAGCAATACCTCCAGAAGCCTCATCGCTACCACAATGCACAGCAGCATAAATACCCTACCATACACTAAACCCTACACTCTATCGGAGCCCAGACAAGTCTGCAGCTACGGACGTCAGGTCTGGGTGACTTGCCTTCAGAGAAAGCTGAGGGTGCGGCAAGGATCTTGTAACCTGCCAGCTCAAGTTCGGAGCACGTAGCCCTGAACCCCAAATCCTTAGACCCTAAATCCTAAACCCTAAATCCTGAACCCTAACCCTAAACCCTGAACCCTCAACCTTGCCCTCTAAACCCTGAACCCTAAATCCTATCAACCGTGGGGTCTAGGGCTTGAGGATTTATAGGGTCGGTGTTGGAGGCCCAGGGTGGAACCAAAGAAGGGTTCAAGGTATGAGGTCTGTAGGGTGTAGGGCGGCATCTTACGAGGGGGACCCTCAAGAATAGCATAGACCCTCATTTTGGGGAAACCCCCAACCCTAAACCCTAAACCCTTTGATCTCTGCCAGGCCTGTGGTCCACTTCCAGAAGAGGCAGGCTACCAAGATGTTCACTGCAGACAGGCAAAGGATGACCTGACACGAATTATTTAGGGTTTAAGGTTTAGGGTTTAGGCTTCAAGGTTTCGGGTGTAGGCTTTAAGGTTTAAGGTTTGGGGTTTAGGGTTTAACGTTTAGGGTTAGACTGGAATATGGCTACACCATTCCTCGCTTGGTTGCAGAATGTGGAAGTCCATGAATTCAATGAATATATGTCTCTCCGAGCATGCAGAGGTTTCTCGAAGTGGGAGCTGCTTCTTGGGCAGGGGCCCAACTATCCCGATATCTGTAGGTGTCGATAAGGCTCCACATTTTAAGACACAGGTAATGCAAGAGTGTGTTCATCACAAAGGGGCTTTCAGGTACGGTACATTACATTGTACATTTATGAAGGATTGTCCAGGAACAATGTTGGTAAGTATTCATATGTGAAATGGCGAGGGTCCTCATAATACTCTGAACTTATACCCGTCAAAAGTGTCCCACCGAATGAGAACACCCATGTGACGTAGCTTGTTTCTCAGTCGCCTTGCCCAGGGTGCCGTGAAAGGTGAACGACTTGATCTTCGACTGCAGCTTTACCTCACATGCATCACTTGCAAGGGTTCGAGGTTTGGGCTTATGCTCGCCTCATGGTGCCTAAATGGGCACTCCATTTATCACCGCTATGCCTCATGCTATGCCTCCGGAACACACTTTGTCCTACCTCATATCTGGATCCTGGCTTTGGAGCAGAGGGCGTGCTATTCCCGATGATAAGTGTGCACAATGATTATGCAGATTGCTCTCAAAGAGCAGGACCGTACAAAACTCCTGACAAAACACTGCAACTTCAAAATCTCTATGACTGCCAATGTCTATGACTAGCGGCCAGAAATTTCGAACAGGACAAAAACGGTGCAAGTTCTTATGGAGGCCTCTTCCATGGGCAGTCGCCCGTGCGCGACCCTTCTTTTGTTTCGTGTTTTTTGCTTAAGGGAATTTAATGCAGATGGGGTTAGCATAACAGGCGTATGCCCACCCTTGCATAAGGCCTATGCAAGTCTTGCAAGGGGAGACTAGGAGATATACAAAAAGGATGTAAGGCTTGTATGAGAGCTACTACCCACCAGAAACACGATCAGATTAAGGGACCCTGCAGTTCTGTAAATTGAAAAATCCTAATTCAACCCTAAATCCTAAACCCGAAGCTCCAAATCCTAAACCCTAAGTCCCAGACCTTAGACCCAAGCAAATCAAGATCCTGGGAGGACTAAAGTCTCAGTCTGAAACACTTCTTCTAGAGTTCTAGGGTTCTAGGGTTGTAGGGTTGAGGGTGCGTTGGGAGAAAGCCCCCTGTAACGACTGGGTTTATGTCCTGCTTAGCAACCCAAGCATCCCAAAAGTACTTCAAGGTCATTGGGAATGGGGAATGGGTTATGGGATCTTAAGGACTACTATCAGGATCCATTCCCTCATGCCCCACTACGCACCAAGTAGCTAAGTGAGCTAATTGAGCTGAAGCGCTATCTTCACCATGCCAATAGTTGCTTGGAAGAGCACCAGGGATAGGACGGCGTAGCCAATCAGATCATGAATGACCCGCGCGGGGACTGCCCACTTATGCGTAGTGAAGTTGTAGCCTGGTACAACAATGACTTGGCTACTGCCCCGACTCGGCAACAGTGCGATAATGCTTACAGTTTATAGTATAGCTTTATAAACCCGTACCATTCAAACTACTCCCCATATTTTAGACTGTTACTGGGTAGGGGCAGTTCCCAAAGACCAACCAACAAAAATTAAAATGAATGGAACCTACCATATCATTCAGTGTTTGTGTCTACTCAGGGAACCCCATAGTTGCCCACATATGAGCTATAGTCTAAACTCCTTAAAAGGTCATATAGGGGATGCTGTAGGGAACTACTCTAGGGGGTGATTAAGGGGGATACGAGGAGTTTAGACAATGGGAACTCTTTGAATTGAAGGGGGTTTTCAGTTTCCTGTTCATTCCTTCATGCTAACAACAAGTTGGATAACAGCTTCACGAAGGACTGTCTGAGCTTCTTTGAACTGCGCATATTGCAGAAAATTATGACAAAGAAGAGTTCGTCATTTCGCAGCTGCCCAAAGAACAGAAAAAGGGACAGACATCAATCAACTGGCTAGACACAACTCAGAACACCATGGTTCATCACTTTTGCCATCACACATTTCGGGTGTCTCTCAAAATCGGGGGTGCGCTGGACCCTAAAGATTTTTGGGGGACTACGAGGGGTTCCCATCGGCTCCCTCTTAAGGGTCATTGTGACAAAGTCTCATTTCTATTGGTCGATTGTCTGTGCTTTCAGAGGGTGTGGCAGTGGCATCAGGGGCAGTGGCGGCTGTTGATAGTGAAATACTTGTTTACAGCTCGTGCTGTGCACTACCAGAATTAAAAATAGGCTTCAGCATCCAGAGCTTAGGTCTTGGGTGAGTTTGAAGTACATAGGGATATATAGGGATTATATAGGGTTATACTGGGGTTATATAAGGATAATGGAAAAGAAAATGGAAACTACTATATGGTTTAGGATTTACGGCTTGAAGTTTAGGCTTTGGGTTTAAGATTGGGGGCTGCTCGCACAGGTCGTGCATGTGCATCGACACCTCCTCGAAAAGATACAGGACCGCAAACCCCCTAAACCTTCTACACCCAAAACCCCCGAACCCCAAGCCCCTACATTCCAAAACCCTAAACCCCTGAACTCCTAAACCCTAAACCCCTAAACCCTAAACCCTAAACCCAAGACACTTAAAGCCGTTCTGAATCTACTCAAGCTGCCCTGTCGAAGTGCAGGCAACTGTCTTTCAGGGACCTCCGTACCCTAAACCCCAATTGAGTAGCGTTTTTGGTGCTTAAGCCCAGTAAGATCATATCCCCTATATAAAAGGGAATATCTTTTTTTGACCGTGG